AGTACTCAGAAGGGCACTCTCTCAGCTCCTAACAATAATTTCTTCCTCTTTTTTTTTTTTTAATATTTTTATTTATTTCTAGGAAAGAGAGAGAGAGACAGCGTGAGCAGGGGAGGGTCAGAGAGACAGGGAGTCACAGACTGAAACAGGCTCCAGGCTCTGAGCTGGCAGTCAGCACAGAGCCCGACGCGGGGCTCGAACCCACGAACCGCGAGATCATGACCTAAGCGAAAGTCGGACGCTTAACCGACTAAGCCACCCCGGTGCCCCCTAACAATAATTTCTTCTGAGGAATGGGATTTAGGAAGGGACATTGAGGAGAGGATTTTCATTTCTATTTCATGCACTTCTATATTGTTTGAATTTGTTACTTTTTATTAAAAGCAAAATAGGAAAATAAATAAAATGCTATCTGGCTAAGAGAATGTAAAAAAAAATCTCTCCCAATTTCCCACTAAAATAGCTAAGAAGGTACAGAGATTAAAAGAAAAAAATCCTGAATGCGCCTGGGTGACTCAGTCGGTTAAGTGTCCACCTCTTGATTTCAGCTCAGGTCATGATCTCAAAGTTCATGAGATTGAGCCCTGCTGGGCTCTGCACTGACAGTGTGGAGCCTTCTTGGGATTCTCTCTTCTTTTCTCTTTCTCTCTTTCTCAAAAATAAATAAATTAATTAATTAAAAAAAAAATCCTTGGGCACCTGTCTGGCTCAGTCAGTAGAGCATGCACCTTCTGGGGGTGTGAGTTAAAGCCCCCTTTGGGGGTAGAGTTTATTTAAAAGAACATACTATCTAACCATTTAAAACTAATGCTGCCCAGTCCCTTGGCTGGCTCAGTTGGAAGAACACATGACTCTTGATCTTGGGTACTTGAGTTTGAACCCCAGGTGGGGTGTAGAGATTGCTTAAATAAGCAAAACTTAAAAAAAAAAACACAAAAAACTGATGTTGCCAATGCAAGGCTTGAAACTCATACAAATTTTCTGTACCTACAAGACCAATAAAATCTAAGTGTGTGTGGTGATGGGGGAGGGTAGCATCGGTGTCTCATCTATGCTCCTCCACGCTCACACAAATAGCTACTAAGGACTTTTCTTTAGCCCATTAACAATTAAAATTCAAGGTCAGGGGGCATCTGGGTGGCTCAGTCAGTTAAGTGTTTGACTTTGGCTCAAGTCATGATCTCGTGGTTCATGATTTCGAGTTCCGCATCAGGCTCTGTGCTGACAGCTCAGAGCCTGGAATCTGCTCTGGATTCTGTGTCTTCCTCTCTTTCTGCCCCTCCCCTGCTAGTACTCTGTTTAATAGTCTCTCTATTAAAAATGAATAAATGTTAAAAAAAAAATTGAAGTCAGTAACAATCAGGAAATAGAGTAGCAGTGCCCTCTACTTTACAGTAAGTTTATTAGTTTGTTTTGAGATAAGTATCCTGTTGAGCCCACCCCTTCCCCACCAGTTTCTCTTTCTAGATTCAATTTAAAAAACTACAACTCCCATAAGTCCCCTGGGAAGTAATAGGGAGGTTGGGGGCAATGAACTTTGCCCCACTCACCCGGCCTTAACATTCTCCTGGAAAAGTACCTGGAAGCTCAAGAAACCTTCTCTTTGTGCTGGTCTTGAAGGAATCAATCACTTGAAGGCATGTTCTAGTCAACAGGAGTGATGACGTATGGTTATAAAAGAGCAGGCAGATGGCACTGCTGTGAAACTTCAAGCATGGCAGCCAACTCAACCCCGCATCCCCACAAGAATGATGCAACCTCTGCAACCATATGCAAGTGGGCGGTCCCCATGTCTTCCAGCCAGAATGTGCAGGGGGCAGAGTCTCCTTCCACGATGGCGTCTGAAGGAAGTTCAAAAGGAAAGGGTCACATATGAACTGTTATTGCTCATAAAGGAAATAAAATAACACAGAAGAGCTCTGGCTCCCTCCTCACTGGTTTTAGAAGATTCATTAAATGTAATTACTGTGACACTCACTATATAAAAAACAGGGAGCTAGAAATACATCTATAATGGTGCAGTCACTTTGAAAAAAAGTCTGGCAGGTATTCAAAGGTTTAAACATAGAGTTATCCTAAGATCCAGCAATTCTATTCCCAAGAGAATTAAAAATGTGTTTCTGGGTGCACCTGGTGGCTCAGTTGGTTAAGCGCCTGACTTCAGCTCAGGTCGTGATCTCACAGTTTGTGAGTTTGAGCCCCTCATTGGGCTCAGTGCTGAGAGCTCAGAGCCTGGAGACTGCTTGGGTTTCTTTGTCCCTCTTTCTCTGCCCCTTCCCCGCTTGTGCTCACGCTCTCTCTCTCTCTCTCTCTCTCAAAAAACCAAAAACACTCAAAAAAATGTATGTCCGTGCTAAACCTTATATGCAAACATTCATGGCAGCATTATTCATGATAGCCAAAACGTGGAAATAATCCAAATAGCCAATCAGCTGAGAATGGATAAACAAAATGTGGTATATCCATACAATGGAATATTGTTCAGTTGTAAAAGGGAATGAAAAAGTGATATGTGCTACAACGCAAATGAACCTTGAAAACATTATGCTTAGTGAAAGAAAACAGACAAAAAAGGCCACATATTGTATGATTCTATTTATATGAAAAGTCCAGATTTGGTAAAACCAGAAATATGGAAAGTAGATTAGTGGTTGCTGCAGGATAAGATTGAGGAGAATGGAAGTGACTGCTAACATGTGTAGGGTTTCCTTTAGGGTGAGGACAATGTTCTAGAATTAGATAGTGGTGATGATTGTACGACTATGAGAATATATTAAAAAACCACTAAATTATATACTTTAAATAGGTGAAGTTTATGGCATGTAAATTATACTCCAATAAAACTGCTGTCAGGGCGTCTGGGTGGCTCAGTCAGTTAAGTATCCTTCTCTTGATTTTTGCTCAGGTCACCATCTCGAGGTTCGAGGTTCATAAGCTCAAGCCTCCTGATGGGTTCTGTGCTGACAGTGCAGCCCAACAGTGCTCTGTCAGTGTGTGCTCTCTCTCTCTCTCTCAAAATAAATAAAGTTAAAAAAAAAGAAAATAAAAAGAACTACTATAAAAAGAAAGAGATGGTCCCCAAATGTTAATGAAACAGTTTTGGGGAAGTGTGGCTGGGTGCCAATTTTTATTTCTACTTTTCTGGGGTTTTTCCCCCCAAAATGTCTCCCATCTAATGGGCAGCAATTACTTCACCAAGTGGACAGATCTTGCTGGATTCAAATCCAAGTTCCTTCTCAATTAACTGGATAATCTTGGGTAAGTTACTTAGTTATTCTACATTTCTGGCTTTTCATGAAAAATTGGGGTGATAATATTGCTTGCCACAGGAGAATTGTGAGAATTTAATAAGAGAATGCTGTAAAGTGCTTAGATCAGAGCATGGGTATTAGTAAGTGCTCAAGAAATATCAGCTGCCATTTTTTTTTTAGCTTTTTTATTTTTTCAAGTAATCTCTATGCCCAACATGGGGCTTGAATTTACCACCCAGAGACCAAGAGTCATATACACAGGGAGCCTGGTTCCTCAGTCAGAAGAGCATGTGAATCTTCGCCTTGCAGTTATGAGTTGGGAGGCCCCATGTTGGGTGCAGAGATTAGTAAAAAAAATAAATTTTACCAAAAATAAAATAAAGTTAATGTTTTTAATATCTTCTAAAAAAAAAGTTACATACTCTACTCAGCCAGCCAGCTGAGTCCTCCTGCCATTTCCATTATTAAGAATACAAGACAATAAAATAATACTAAGTTTTACAGATAGTACTTATACAGCACTGCTGTAGATGTTTTACATATTTTAATGTATTTAGTCTTCACAACTTCTTTGTAAGGTAGGACACTCTTCTGTCCATTTTACAGAGGAGTATTAACTGTGATATTTACCAGTGACGTGCAGTCTGCACATTTCGTAGGAATGTAGGAACACATAAAGAGCATAGAGAGCTGAGGCAATCAAGGAAGACGTCATGAAGAAAGTGGCCATGGAACGAAAGATGGGCCCTGGATAATCCCACATGGCTGGGAAAGGTGAGGGCCCTGCAAGTAGAATGGAAATTTCCCAACAAAGCTGTGGAAAATATTATTTGTACCACGTGGGTGATGAGTACAGATTTTGCATTATTTTTCGTACCTTTGTGCACCTTAGAAATAATTAGCTATTAACAAAAATGAAAAATATTTAATTGCTGTGTTCTAGAGAAAGAACACATTTTCTTTCTCTAAGTCTTTAAGATGTACATGTTAGTGATAATTTTCTTTATTCTTTCTAAAATAAACCTTGGTTCTATTCTATTTGCCTGTTAAGCTACTACGCCTTGGAGTTTATTTTTTCCTAGGGATCTCTCTTACTCCTTGTTACAACTGCATATTCCACAGTAGGAATGTTTCATAATTTATTTTTCCCTTCCCTACAGATCCTAATTTTCTGTTACAAGCATTATTTGTAAACACTGTACCCCTGTAAAAGCCTTTCCTATGCACTGAGGTAGATACCAGGAAGAGAAAATGCCATAAATCCAACTTTCAAAAAGCGAATCAAACAAGGGGTGAATGGAAAATTTCTGTACTTCCTTCCCGATTGTGTTGTAAACCTAAAACTGCTATTTAAGAAAGAAATAGTCTTAAAAAAAAAAAAAAAAGTCAGAGACGGACACGGGGGTGAACCGGGAATCTAGGCAGTTTTTCGCGTGGTCGGGGCCGGAGTGGGGGTCCCATCAGCCCGCCTCCTGGCGGGCCCAGGCGGCATCTGGTGGAGCCTCCGAGCCCCTGGATTACGTGCGAAAGCACGGTGACCTACTACCCTCGGTACACGCTCTCTGCCCCGCCTCGAGGCCCTTCAAAGAAGATGAAAAAAAAAAAAACAAAACCAACCTTGGCGATCACGTGAAACCGGCGTGCCGGCCAGATGACGTCACGCGGCGCAGACCAATGGGAGCTTCTGTTTATGTCAGGGGGTCATCAGAATATCAGAGCCTCGGCGCGCAGCCTCGCCCCGCCGCCGCCGCCGCCGCGCCGCTCTCCGGCTCTGGTGGAGAGCGCCCAGCTGGAGCGGGAGGCGGTGCGGCTGTAGCGCCGCGGGGAGGGCCGCGCCGGTTGCCTTGTGCAGCCGCGTCTCCGCTAGCGGCCCCGTGCCGTCCCTGGGGCACTGTGCAGTGTTAGCCCGGGACTAAAGCTGCCGGCCTTCGCGGGTGGCTGGATCCGCGTCCCGCCTCAGCGCCCGGAGGACATGCGGGAGAGAGAATGAGCCAGAGGGACACGCTTGTGCATCTGTTTGCCGGGGGGTACGGTCCACTCTGGGAGTGCGGGCTGGGGCTGAGGGTGTTGGTCTGAAGGCCGTGGCCTGACACGCGGGCGAGAGGGGTGAGGGGGCTCCAGCCAGCGGGGCCAAGAGGGTGAGGCCCGGGCGGGGAGGGGTGAGGGCCTTGAGCCACGGTTGCTGAGGGGGCCGAGGCCGGGAGGGTTGGGGGTTGAAGCCGGGGCGGGGCTCGAGGCCGTGGGCCCGCGGAGCCGCGGCGAGGCTGGAGCAGGATCCGCGAGCTTGAGGGGCGGCGGGCGGGGCTGGAGGACTCCGCGGGCCAGGGCCACGCACCGCGGCCTAGCGGGTGTCTGAGATGCGGGGCCGCGGGGAGCAGCGTGGCTGCAGGCCTCAAAAACGTTCCTAGGCCTGGGGGGGTACTGGGCGGAGGTGCGGAGGCCGAGGACAAAATGGGCGCCGGGGCCGCCTCCTCCCTCCCCCCGGTGCCGCGCGTGCTGCGAGGCCTCCTCACGTCGCTCACGCCGCACCTCGGACCTCGGGGAGCCGATTTCCCGGCCCCCTCGGCCGGGGTGGGCCCTTCGGGGGGCTTCCGGCACCCGCGGGGCGGCTTTGGTGTTCGCTTGCCCGATGGAACTGTAGCTTTATCGCTCTCGGAAAATTTTCAGGTTTCGAGATGCGGTGCGAAGCGGCAGTGCCTTTGGGTCAGATTCTTTTCGTGAAAACCAACCCTCTTGCACGCCCGGTGCATTTCGTCGGCTTAAAGGGGAAAGTCGGGGGTAGGGAGAGGTCAGATGCTTTGGCCATAGTTACTGTGTATGAGATTAGGGCTAAGCCTTAAGTCTCAGTTCCCTGATCGCCACCCTAAAGCCTGCAGATATTTTGTTGAGCCAGTTTACTCTCTTTTTTAGGTTTATTCCTTCCAAATTATTTGGGAGCATCCTAGAATTTTTAAGTTTAAGAGTTTCTTATCCGTAGGATCATGTTAATAAAAAAAATGGCTTTGATGAATTCTGCTGAGGCTCTTTTCTGTCTACATGACTATGTAAAGTCTCATCCTTTTAAAGCGTACAGTTTGCTTTAAAATCGACCACTTTAAGACTTTATTGCCAATGATGGTAATACTTTCCTTTGGTATGGGAAACATGGACCAGTCACTGTTCTCGCATAAAAAAATTTTTTTCTTTTAATCCATGAGGGCAAGTTTAGGTGATGTACTCTCCACCTTTCTGATAGATAATTTTACCAATGATCCATATTTCTAATATGTTAAACAATAATCTTGGCAAATGAAATCATTTTTCTTTTAAAAAGACATTAGCTATGTAGGTGTTCTTGTAAAGGTGTCTTGTTATGCAAATAATTGGGCTTCCTTCTGTAATTCTATCGCAAGGTAACATCTAAAAGTTAGGAGACCGGGCATCACTTCTGGCTGCTATTTTGAATGAAAAATGAACAAGACCTTTTGTTTTAATTGCTTCATTTGTAAAGTGAGGAAGGTATACTATATGATCTCTGAGGCCCTTCCTAGGTCCTATCATTTCTATTACTCTGCATTCAAGATTCATATATCAAGTTTTGTTAAAAGTGGGGCACGCTAACTTGAAGTGTTAGCTTGATTGCATTGACTTCCCAGTTTGAATTAAGGTCATCAGTCACTTTTTTGTCATTAATACGTGTAAAGGCTCTCCTTGTTAGATTTTTCCTTAACAGCAGGAATGGAGAGTGTTTGCAGCATCTAAAAACCAATAAGATTTAGGAGCCTCCCCTCCCCCAAAGAACCCGCATTTACAGGTTACTTGGAGAATTAGGAGGTGCTGGAATGTAGGGCCTGATACAACAACATAGGTGATCAGCCTTGTAAATTCCCTTTCTTTGCATCTCTTGATTTTACATTTATATGTGGTTGCATACTTTGTTGCAGTAAAGCCTTGTTTATCTTCCCCGCCCCCCCCCCCCCATCACTTTGAGAAACAGCAGAACTAGGAAGGATGGTCGAGATTATTTGGCTCAGCCACTTAAAAATGTGGAAAAATACTGAGGTGTATTGATTTTCCCAAGGTCAGATAGTTTTCCATTCATGTAAAATGAGAGAAAAATAATCTCTAACAGATCCTTCCGTCTCTATATTATATAAAGTCAATTTTGAGGAATATCCTGGAAGTTGTATGCTAAGCATTGTGGAAGTGCACACTGGGTTGTGTTGGTCACATTGTTCTCATTTGGATTGGAGATGTTGAATTTTTTTTTGAATATTAAAGTTGCTTACTTAGACATTGTTTTCAGGACGTTCTTCATAGAAAACTAGAAACTAAATAATCTTTCACAATGGCATTTAACCTTAGGCAAAAATTGTCTGAGTATGGGGCATTTGGATCATTTCCTGATAATTATAATTATATTCAAGTAAGAGTTTATCAGGATTTCAGAGAGATTTCTAATAGTCTAGTAGCTATGTTATTAAATTTATTTAATAACTAGTAGTTATGTTATTAAATCAGAAACATTTGCAACAGACCAATGCTGGACCTTGGGTCTGAGTGACATACTCCTATATGTAACTTATGCTTTCTTTAGGGCACTCTTTGGTCTCAACTGTATTTGCCAGAGTTCATATTCAGAGTTTATAAGGTCATTGGTTACATCAGTGAAGTTACAGAAGCAACTCGTGGCAATCTACGAAAGGGATGTAGATAAGATTTATTTAAGCTGTACTTTAAAAATTTTTTTAATGTTTATTTTTGAGAGAGACAAACAGACATGAGTGGGGGAGGGTCAGAGACAGAGGAAGACATAGAATCTGAAGCAGTCTCCAATATCTGAGCCAGACGTGGTTCTCAAACTCACCAACCGTGAGATCATGACCTGAGCCCAAGTTGGATGCTTAACTGACTGCCCAAGCCCCCTAAGCTGTACTTTCAATAACACTGTATGTATGTGAAGATATAAGCAGTATGAAATTTATTTTTAAATTCTTTAATAGAACTATATATTGTCTGTTAAAGTATCAGCACCAGAGGCAGTTTTCTTTTTTCTTTGAGAGATTGTCTCCAAAAGGAGGAATAAACCTTGGAAACTGTCATTTCTAGATTTTTTGATGTTGTAGAATAATGAACCTGTATGCTCTTCCAACTATCAAACTTGGCTATTCTTTCCTTGCTGATCAATGCAGTTAAAGCAAATGAGCAAGCGACTTTGAATTGTAACTTTTTCTTTTAACAGAAAAGCATCCAGTCTAGTAGTTTATTACTAGTAGTAGCAAATTACGTTGGTGATACCTTGCAAGTGATCTTAAGTCATTGGTCACATCACTGGATCAGAGGGACTCAGGACCAGTTGGAAGGCAAAAAGAAAGTGAAAGCCTGCTTTAAGGCACTTGGAGTGGGGATGGTAAGGGGAAGTGTGAGAGGAAGTTTGGAATGTAGAACCAGAGAGACTTGAAGATGTCAGAAAGCCTCTGTATGACTTATCAACCCTTCCAACTGATGATTGTTAGCCATCAGTACCAAGGAGCTTCTTCACATGGTCTTTTTTTTTTTTTAAATAGTGTATATTTAAGGTGTATACAACATGATGATTTGATGTAAATATGCATAGTGAAATGATTATAACATAACATCTGATGTAGTTAACATTTTTTTGTATGTGAGAGCATCTGAAATCTACTCTTTGCAAATTTCCAGTATTCAATACAGTAGTATTAGTTTTAATCATTATGTTGTACATTAGAACTTTAGACTTCTTCATCCTACGTAACTATAGTTCTGTACTGTTTAACTAGTACCTTCCCATTTCTCACAGCGTCTTGCCTCTGTTAACCACCCTTCCATGGTTTTTGACTTCTATGTTGTTTGACTTTTTTAGATTTTACATATAAATGAGATCATGCAGTGTTTTTCTTTCTGTGCCTGGCTGATTTCGCCTAGTATGTCTTCCACATTCATCCATGTTGTTGCAGCTAGATGGCAGGATCTTATGCATCGCCTTCTTGATCTTGGATTTTTCCAGCCTTGCTATGTTATACATTTCTAGTTTGCAAACTTTTTCTTTACTTAATTTTTAAATGCTTATTTTGAGAGAAAGTGTATGTGTGTGAGCAGGTGAGGGATAGAGAGAAGAGAGAATCCCAAACAGACTTTGCACTGTCAGCACAGAGCCCGATGCGGGGGTGCAGGGCTCGAACTCGGGAACTGTAATCAGGACCTGAGCCAGAATCAAGAGTTGGATGCTTACTGACTGAGATACCCTGGTAACCCTATCTTGCTAAATTTTTTAAACATTATATTGGTTGTACAAATTAATGTTCATGAGGAGTTTGCTCATTATAAATAGTGAGCAAACTATTTAAATCAGTATTCATTGCTAAGAAACTTTCTTCGTGGGAGGCTAGAATAAAACAATTTTAAATGTTATGATTTTTATATAGAATATTTTTAAAATATTTTTTAATTTTTTTAGTCTTTTTTTAAACTGTTTTATAACTTGGTTGGCTTAATAAAATAATTGTGCTGTCCAAATCTTACAGATTAATAAATGAGAAAATAGTATATATTTAATATATCTTAGTTGTACTCACATCCATTTATTTATGAAGGTGAGTATGCATCATTCCTACTCTCCAGCTGTTAAGTTAGCATGCTGCTTTAATCTTGCACTAAATTGACCAGTGTGTAAAAAAATACCTGTACCCCCAAGCTACTTAAGGTATGTAATAGTACCAATACAGAAGAACAAAATTCTTCTTATATCCTTCCTGGTTAAATCGCATGTAATTTAGTACAGACAGCATGCTTCAAATTGTATAGCAACCCATTAGTGGATTATTAAATCAATTTGGTTTATAACCAACATTTTAAAAATAATAAGATAAATATTCTGCAAAATTTTTGTGCCTGGGGATATGCTGCACCTTGATGTAAAATATTCCTTGTGGATTGAAGTCAAAGATTTGAAAGGAAGAGAGCTGGACTAAGAATCAGGAGATTTGGTTTGTTCTTTAATTGACTATGAATGCGAAGCAACTAATTT